GGGAACTGGCTGTCTATGCTTCTGGGCTGTGAGCTGTGGGAGGTTAGTGGGAGGGGCCGGATAGTGTCAAAGTCAGTGTTCTATAATTTTTCTCGATCCTATACATTTTCTCGACTGTTTCACTTCCAGTGGGGTCGAGTCATCCGAATCAGCTATTTTCATGACCCCCTTTCCTCATGACATGCACACCTGGAAGTGACGAGGTAGAGAAATTAATGGGTTAAGGAAAATTATAGCACACTGGTAGTGGAGGGATGCCTCGTCAGTGTACGACTGCTGTGACCCTGGTAGTTCTGCCACTAACTCTAAGCTGTAGAGGGACTACAAATGTCAGCACACTATACAACAATGCAGAAAAATACCACCAGCTATAGAGGACTATAAATATCAGAAATACATTGTACAGCATTGCAGAATGGCATTGGCTATAGAGAACTACAATTCCAAGCAATACATTACACAACAATGCAGAATACCATTAGCTATAGAGGACTATAAATCCCAGCAATAATGACTACCAACAGCTATAGAGAACTACAATTCCCAGCAATACCATTATACAGCAATGCAGAACAGCATCAGCTATAGTGAACTACAAATCTCAGCAATACATATTACAGCAATGCAGAATAATATGAAGCTACATACTCTGTTGCTCTGAGTTCTCCGACTGATGTCTCCAGGGTCTCAGGAGGGTTGTGCATGCTCTCACTAGGGGTCCAGAGAGTTCCAAGGGTGTGTGTGATGGGGGGGTCTGCTGTGGCCGCAGTTGCAGTGGCTCCCTCCCTCCACTGCCTCTCTGCCACATGCACCTGGCCGGCCCTCCTGCCCCCATCAGATTCGGCTCTGTACTCGGCAGCCGCTCGCTCCTCTAGGCTGACCTCTGGAGGCCCCCACGGGCTGCCTTCTACAGTGCCTGATCCAGCCAGCCCGGATCATATACGGATTTGATCCGGGCTGGCTGAATCTAATCAGGCACTGCAAAGGGCCGCCCGCGGGGGCCATAAATTAGGAATAATGGTCTTGTTATAACCTGGCTTAATTCCTTAAGTACCTTGGGGTTCATGGGTAGGTGGTTCCTTTTTCTGTACCTTTTGAAAAGACATGCTAAGTTTTTCAATTAAAATTGTTCTCTTTGTACTATAGTTCAGCATTAAGAAGGGATAATTGCCATAATACTAGTTTGTGTGATTGTGGGTATTTCATGTTCATATATAAAACAGCTGCTCACCCTATTCTGCACAGTAGCCTTTTTAAAGTCTATATTCTAGTGACAGAAAATCCTGCCCTTAAAAATGTTTGTTGTTATTCAAAATCTTGTCTAGTCAGAAATGTTCCCCCACTCTTTTTTCCACTATTTGTAACCCCAGTTTTAGGGAAGTTCCCCCCATCTCTCCTCTCTTCGCAGCTTCTCCTGTGTACCTATTTTTAAAATATTCCCAAAATACCTATCTTGATGTGTCCAAAATGTAGTCAGATAACAAGTCAGGGTGTCCCCGCATGCTCTCGAGTGTCAGCAATGTGTAGTCTTCTCTGCTGCAAAGACTGGTACCCATTGCTATATAGACCAGCCAGAGCTGATCTATACAGCAATCCATTGTAAAAACTCCAGAGAATGTGTCTTGAGTTTACTGGGAGTGGACTGAATTATGCTGGACAATATTTAGCCCAATAGAGCCAGCAATGGAGGACACAGAGGACAGCGCTGAAGCATGGGGATAGTGAGTAGTCCACATCATATTCCTTTTTCTTTAAGCATAGTCCCTTACTAAAAATAAAAACACAGTAATATA